ACACTAAAATGTTTAAAAACAAAACAAATTAATGTGAAAACACATGAAAAATACGTACTGAGAATATCACTAATAACAGTAAAGACTGAGCTGAAGGGGACTCTGGGAAGGAGACAGAAAAGAGACTGTGAGAGTAATGTGAGTAGAAATACAAGAAGGAGATAACACCAAAGTCAAGGAGAGGAGTCAGCCAATTGAGAGTGTGCCGGAGAAAGCAGAGGGACCTGGTGGAAAATTGAGTAAGCCCTTGGCATCTAACCCAAACAAGCAGTTTACACTCACCAGTGGGTGTGCAGGAGAAACCCAACAAGGTGAGTTGCTCTTTTCATAGGTGAGAAACCTGAGACCCAGAGAGGTTAGTTAACAAGGGAATTAAGCATTAACCCAAACCAAACCACTGTCATCAATTGATTCGGGCTCATAGCGAGCCAGCCTTCTTTTCAATGGAGACTTTCTTGGATTTATTTTGTTCTCATTGTTGGGTGTTTTTTGTTTGTTTGTCTGGTATGTTTTCCTGTATTTGGCATCTAGGATATTTATAGAGACAGAGGAGATTAAGGGGGAAGGGGGAGCTAATAACAAGTACAAGGAAGAATGAAATGTTCTAAAATTGGGGTGATGATTACACAACCCCTTTTAATATAATTGAGCTACTGAATTGTATGATCTGTGAATAATTTGTTTTGTTTTAAGAAAACAGACAGAGAGCCAATATGATGATGCTTCAAAACTACTTCTTGATTTGGCAAGTAGGTCAGTATGTTATTTTATGGCAGTTAAGTGTGATAAAGAAAAAAACTCAGATGACAGTGAATTTGGACCTGTTTGGGAAGTAAAGGCATATTGAATAATATAAACAGCACTAACTCAAAACCACTGTGCTCTTCCTTCTTAAATTTGTGGTAGAGCCACTCTACTGTATGACCCAAGCCTGTCTGCCATCCTTGAGTTTTTTCTTTAGTTTTACAATAAAATGTGCATAAAACAGTTTAATAGACTAAGAAGAAGGTCCTAGTAGAAAGGTAGAAACTGAAAAGTCAAGAGGAGATAGAGATAATTATTGATGGAAAGAAGTCTTAGAAAATGTGGTGGTATCTGGGGACCAACGCACTTCTGGAAGCATGGTTCTTGTTCTGCGTCTGGAATACAGCTGGGAATTAGGAGCAAGAAGAGTCCCAGGCAGATTTGCTCAACAATTACCTTTGCTCTACCTCCATCTGTGAACGGGAGGTCTACTTCCTTTTAGCCGCCATTCTCTCAGATCATTAATCATAAAACCAGAGAGATTTATTATATTGTTAGTCGGTAGATGTCAAGTTGGATCCAACTCACAGCAGCCTTGCACCACAGAGTGAAACACCTCCTTGTCCCGCCCCGTCCTCACAGAGGTTGCCCGGTTTGAGACTATTGTGTCAGTCTGTCTGGTAAGGGCCTTCCTCTTTTGTGCTGCCCCTCTCCTCTACCAAGCATGACGTTCTTCTCTGTGGCCTTTTCTCTCCTGATAACATGTCTAAAACACGTGAGATGAAATCTCACCAGCCTTGCCTCTAAGGCATATTCTGGTTGTACCTCTGAGACAGATCTGCTTGTCCATTTGGCAGCCCATGGTGTTTCCACTACGCTTCATTAACACCATCGTTCAAAAGTATACATTCCAATTCAATATTCCTCATTCAGTTTCCAACTTTGAGATTATCAGTGTCAATGACATATCATATCTGTTGTCACACTGAAGTGGCTATAATTGTGCTGTAACTGTTCAAATAATAGATGACCAGGCAATTAGAAAAATATATCTCTAATATATCACACACTTCTCATTTACAGAGGTAACATTTGAAATAAAGAGAAAGACGAAGGCAGGTTCTAAAAGTTTGTATCAAAGAGCTAAGCCTAAAATCCAGATTTCATATCTCTCACCCAATATCTTTGCTTGAGATCTATTCTGCCTTATCCACAACACAAATATTGACTGCAGAATTCTCTCCTAATTTCCTCACGTGTTGCCACTCGATTTGGCAACAAGGTGGACCTGCTGCTCTAAATGTAGCTGTGTATATAATTAGATTGATACTGGTTACTAACAGTTTTGCTTTTAACATCTTAATAAGCTATTTTATTTTATAGCTATTGTCATCAATTTAACAGACAGTCTGAGAGACTACCTTTATGTTTATGCCATTGGAAATTATTTAGTAAATATTATTGATTTTGTTTTTTCATACTATTAAATGAGTTACATACCTCACACTCTTTTTGTAAAGATGAATTCTCTTTTGATCCTAAATATGTAATTGGGTATCTATGTTGTTATTGAAAACTTGAAACATCTTTTTATAGTCTACTTGCAAGAATGTTTGCTCATCTGAGAATAATTGAGTCTTATATGATAGTCCTACTTATTTCTCCCTAAGCCAACCATAACTTAGCTACTTCACGAACTCCTAAATCTCACTGATTCATGACCATCATTAAATGATCACCATTGAAGCCAGATGTGCTAAAACTTTGTTAAAGATGAAGTAACTGAATCTGCAAACATAGAACTTAAAAAGTACTTTGAAAAGCATCCGTGCTTCCAAAGAAATGTTGCTTATATCTATATCCAGACTTCCTCACATCATGCAAAATTCATCCCTAAGTGAATTCATCATATGAGTTTGTTGAAGGCTTTTCTTGCACCCACATTCTTTATTTGAGTTAAAGTATTGCTATCGAGTCAGGACGTCACACTTCGATTTCTGTTTTCTTATCTCTTTCTTTCATAGAGTTGTGCCCTGTTAAGTTTATAAAACTGCTAAAATCTCTGTCTTTTTAAATCTCTTTGTTTTTGTTTTTCTTATATTTGGCCCTTATTATCTTTAACTTAGAACACTGATACTTTTCTAACAAATCTTCTTGTATCTAGTCTCTTGTATTTCCAGGACATCTTCTGCCACATTGTGAGAAAATCTTCCTATATTTCTTATTTAACATATTGTCAAGTCAACACCTAGTACCCAATATGGTACCTTAATGCTTTGCCCCCCTGTACCCGGAAACTCACATCATTTGTATCAGTCTTCTTAGCTAACTTTGAAGTTGTCGCTCTTTTACTGATTATTTGTGTTGCGCTTGTTCTTTATGGTTTATTAACCTCACTTCCACTATCTAGTGACAATTTGCTCACTCTATAAAATAAATTAAAATAGTATGCCCATTGGGAGCCTGCTTTCAACTTATACATTTCTTTGCCTTCCCTTGAAGATATCTGTTGCTATCCCTAGTGTGTTAGTGCCTTATAATGGACACAGTTTTTGTCACATCACATCAGGGTGACTTGTTAAAGTCTGTTTTCCCTGCTATATTTTGCATTCCATTAAATTCCTGCCATGGTACTATGCATGCATTTATTTGTGTACTATTATTTATTGCCTTCATGTATAGTAATAATTTGCTAAATGTCTATTAAATTTGATTGAATTGAGTCACAATCATTTTCAATTATTGTTCTTGCATACAGTGAATTTAATGCTGCCATAACAGGAATACCACAAATTGGCCTTTGATACACAGAAAATTATTCTCTCCCAATTCAGAACGCCAGACGTCGTAAATCAGGTGCAGGCTCTAGAGGAAAGCTTTCTAGCTCTCGGTACTGACAAAAGGCCTTGTCTTGTCAGCTTCTTTTCTTTGACTCCTTGGTGATCTTCATGCGGCATGTCACCAATCTGTCCCCACACCAAACTCCATCTCTTTTATAACGGAAATGTTTTTGTTCTACTAGATTATTGGCTAATAAGTAGTAAGCCATGATGGGTTGAGTGTTTCTGATGTCCTGCCAATCACTCTGTCTTATCTCTGTATGCACAACCCTGATGCGGTGTGCAGTCACTCTGTGCACAAGTTAAAAGTAGACATTGGGATGATATTTGGTCGGTCCTTCTTCCTTCCTTCAGAGTGAGGGCTACTTTTTTCCACGTCTTAATTTTCTTTTTTATATTCAACATCTTATCATACATCTTTCAGGATTCTATTTTCATGCCTTTTGCAAACAAACAGGAAACTTCCTAGTCGAGCAACTCCCTTAATTTCTTCCAGAATAGTTATTCTCAAGTGGTGGATACAGTGTTCGCAGACAACATTTGTCAGTGTTTGAGAACATTTTCGATTGTCAAAACTGGGCAGTCTGTACTGACATGCCGGTTGGCACTGGGCATGCTTCTAAACATTCTACATCACACAGGCAGGCTACCCATAATGAAGGATTATCCAGACCAGAATATCAATTGTGCTGAAGTTAGAAATTCTGCTATAGAGGGGAATGTTCAGATAGTAGTCTCCAACCTCCACTTTTCCTTTTCTGTAGAGGTATAGGTTCTTAATGCTGGAAAATTCATGCCTGGGAATGCCTATGCCTTAGAAACCTGACTAATCTGATCAACTATCAACATGAACCAGTGAGGAATTATCAACAGTAAGGATCCAGAGACTTATTGACTACCCTTCATTCATAATCACAAAGCATAGGGATTAGGGGGACTCTAAGGGGGAGAAGTATAATATGTGGGTTTGTTTTCAGTTTTCCCCCTCATGACTCAGTTAATTGTTAGTCATTTAGGAAATATACAATTTAAGAGAGTTTAAAGAAACATGGCAAAATGCAGAGGCAGGTGTGATTTAGGTAGGTTAATAATATATACCAATGCCAGTTGTTAGACAATGTAAATGGAGCAAAATATATTTAATGAGTATATTGATAACAACACTTCACCTTTCTCTTTCATTATCATGATTCATGGAGAATAGTTTGAAATTGCCTTTATAGAGACTGTGAGAAAAGAGATTTGAGAGTACTGAATGTGAATAAATACAGTAGAGGATTTGTTAATCACAGCAGGCTGGAGTATAACAGCACTATTAAAATGTATAAACTTGGAAAATTGTTTCTGTAATTGACATCAAGCTCTATATCAACCAGTGCTTGTCAGATGTAGTTAATCTCATAGCCTGGTACTTACCTGTAGGGTCACTGGTGATAGCTGACTTATATCCCACACTCCTGGAGCTACCATTTCTATGGGAGGCTCGCTCTTCAAGGTCATGCTGAAGAGTGTAGACCCGTGAATGGACTTTCTGCAAAAGACAACACATACAGACAAAAGTCACTTCAGGAGAGAAGTTATTATGATCTGTAAATGTTTTCTTTAGAATGCAAACACAATCATCTATTATAATGATAGCGTATAGTAGCCAGAAAGAAATATAATATTGCATATGCAGAGATACTCATTAAAGGTTGGTTTCTAATAAGGCACATCAGTGGGTGGCTAACTTCACAGATGCCTTTGTCTGACCAAATCAATAAACCCCCACCCCATGTGGAGCTGTTCAGAATTGGCTGATGCAATTCTCTCCGGACCTTGCACCCAGCCACGTGTGTGCTCTATCGAGAACTAGGGAGTGCTCCCTTAACTGGCTAGGGGCACAGACATGCCTGCATCCACCAATCACGAGCAGCCTTCCTCATCTGGCTAGGGGCACAGATGTGCCTGCGTCCACCAATCACCGGCAGCCTTCCTCGGATATGACTGTGCCCACCAATCCTGGACAGGCACCTTTGGCCAGGGATTCTGGCACACCTGCTCCACCAATCCCTGGCAGACACCTCTGCTTAGTCATGAACCCGCTTGTGCCTGTGCCTTCCAATCCCTGACCACCTTACTAGATAAGAGCCCAGGGTCGTCCCGCCACATGTCTCCCAGCAATAACAAGGCCACTCCTATAGCCCAGGGTGTGACTCCTCCAGTCCAGACACTGTGGATTGTGGGACTTCGCCTAGGCTGGGTTTTTCTCCCCAATAAAGCTTGTTTGCTAAAATTCGGCTGATTCAGTTTCTGGCACCTCTCACTAGCTTACAGCCTCAACTTCTTTTCCACACTAAAAAAAAATTGTTCCACAATCCACCTAACAAGATTTATTCTTAATTGCCAAGAATAGTAACTACAAGGTGGGACAGAAAATCTCAGATTTATATTCTTGTAGTTACAATTGCCTTAGAGTTAAAAAGACTTTAATTCTTCAGAACATTTTGCTCTGTAAAATAACTAAATTCCTTGGGCATCTTTGAATATATGAGTTCTGAATTTACAGAAAGAAATGACTTAAATTAGCATAAAATCTTCAGGCTGAAAATAGTTTTGGGAACTTCACAGAGGAAATGCCTTCTTATCCATAAACAGATTATTCATATCCCGAGTTTTCAAAAATCTGTTGAAAACTACCATAGTAAATGAAAGTGAATCCAGCAAAGAATTCATGGATGGATTTAACAGCTTTGGCAACTTCCAAATTCACAGTTCCTAATAGGAATTTTAAAATCCATATGTATGAGAGAAGAAGAGAAATATTTCAATGATTATTTGAACAGCTTTTGATTTTAATATACCAAATTGAAAAGGTTTGACCTAAAGTCAACACTATTAAAGTTTACAAAGAACTTTAATACATTAAGTAAATCTTTTAAAAACAACACAAACTTCCATTTAAAATCTCATAGAAACCTACAAACCATGATCAGAAAAATCCCACAATTAGAACTCTCCTTAAATTTTAGCTTTATGGACTTTGAACTCACACTTAATAGGAGCCCTAATCTAAGAACAATTAGTTCTTATGCCAAGGCCCTACTTACTATTAGCACTCTCGAAGAGATCACTGAAGATATGGGTGCTACCACAGAGTGTGGTGAAGAAATCAGATGGTGCCCAGCCATTAGTAAGAATAGTATCTAGAGTCTTCAATGTTTGTCTTAAAACAAACAGCCATCTATGTGAGGTACCAACTAAATCTACATGGAAGAAGCACACCAGTCTGTATGATCCAAGGATTATAAATAATACAGTTCAAACCCAGAGAAGAGAATAGTATCAGCGCTTAAATTCTGAACACCCAGTTTCCAGAAGGCCATGGATGACAGTGGAAGCCCAAAATCCATTTACAAGGCCTCCTCTTGGATTAAAGCACCAGTGAATTCCCTCTGACCATAATCCAGGGATGTGAATAGTCCTGCTATCGCACAGAAAGCATTGTAAAGTAGATTATAGCAGATGCAGTTATGTTAAAATGCAATACCTTATCATTTGATCTCTTGTTACCCATTTTAAGTTGTTTCAGTTTATAATATTTTCTGCTTTCTTTCTGATTGAGATTTTTCTGTTGTCTTTTGTCAATTTTGTTTGTTGGCTTGCTTGTTTTATGTGGTTGTTTGTTTCTTTATTATGTTTTGTATATTTTTCTGTATATGAAATCCAGGGTATGCATACATTTATAGAGACAGAAACTGGATTAATAATTACTTAGGGAGATGGCAGAGGAGGATGGGAGGGGGGTGGGGAGCTAACAACAATAACCACGAGAAAGAAGAAAATGTCTGAAAATTGATCGTCATGATGATGGCACAGTTTATCTTAAGTGTGATTGAGCTATTTTATGATACGTGAATTGTATACCAATAAAGATATTTAGCATTCTGATGCTTGCCTTCTTTATTTTCAATTTTCAGATATATTGTTAGGAAGTATTTGCCAAGAAAATATGATTTGCAAATATCGTCGGGCAGGTATTTTCATATAAGCCAAGGTAATCTACCTTTGTAGAAGAATTAGGATCTAGGAAGAGCTAGAGCTAAAGCTATCTACAATGGGAGAGTATCCTAGATGACCTTTTAGGTCTTGCTTTTCAAAGTTTTTATTGTGACTTGAGTGAAGATTTCCAGAGCAGAAAATCAATTTTACATTCAACAATTGAGACACCTTTTGCTTCATCTGATTCACTGCAATCCTGTCCAGGTACCATCATCACTTATTCCACTGTCTCCTTGCGTTTCCTGGTTTCATTTCTCCTTCCTTCCTCACCCTCTGAACTTTGTCCTTCAGTAAATGCCACCCTGTTGATTGTGGATGGATGATTACTCTAAGGTTTGCACACCTCACCAGTGACACCATTTTCCCCTATCAATCTGTCTAGTAGGCCTGGTTATACCTTTGGCTGTGATCCTAATGTTTAGCAGTTTGAAAGCACCGTGGGAGAAAGATTGGGCTTCCTACTGCTGTAAACAACTCTAATGTTGGAAACCGACGGGGAGCGGGGGCAGCTGTAAGTCAGCACTGACTTGATGGCCCTGAGTTTGGGTTGGGGGTTCGAAACCTGTACATTGTTTGCCAAGATCTGAGCCATACGGGTATTTTCACTTTCAAATGGGAAGGCTATGGGTGTTGCTCAGTCTGTCAGATCAACATGTCTGTTTATTATTTTAGTTCTAAAATTTTCATTCCACATTTTTATCTTTCTAGTGTGATCCTTTTCAGAACAGTTGATGGTGTAAGCTGGGAATTACCCAGGTCTTATTTTCTCGGAGTTGTGAAGACTAAAGTTTATGTGATCCATTAGTCCACCAGACTAATTGTAACCATTTGTCTTTACATTTTCATCACTCCTCTTTCCTCTGAATGGGGAGACACCATCTTAGATGATTAAGCACCAACTGCTGAGACCCCATTCACTAATCACCAAAGCAGGATGTAAAATACTGGAGGTGTGAATTGTGATACACCAAATTGACTTCTGAGGTGACGTTTCTGAAAAGAGTGGGAATAAGAGGCTTCTGTGTGAGGTCTGTGGTCCCAGGGGCATGGTGGTTACAGCTGCACTGCAATCACAGTAGGCAGTTTGAAATCACCTACCGCTCTGCAGGAGAAAGATGGCCTTTCAAACCCCATAAACAGGTACAGTGTAAACAGTTACAACCTTAGAAAATCACATGGGCACTTCTAGTCTACCCTAAAGAGTTTGGGTTTAGTAGTGAGAGCTCCTTTGGGTTTTCAATGTGTGAAATCTTAAGAGGAGTGGAAAGCCTCCATTGTCTCCCCAAAGAAGCTTGTGGATTTGAACCATTGACCTTACAGTTAGCTGTCCAACTTATAACTCAGTATGCCACCAGGGCACCTTCATCATCAACTCACTTTTATGAATCATAGCATTTTATATTCATCAATAGGTCAGTAACCACTGACATTGCACAATTTTGTTTCATCCAGAATTTCATGAATTACATTGTTTCTAAATGACAGCATTGATCCAAATCATTTTAAATTACTAATTGCAGAGAAATTGCAGATTCTAGGGGGAAATGCAGTTGAGATTGGACATACCAATTGGCATTTCATTGTAAATGACCCTGATGACAGGTTGGTTTCTAAAGCCAAGTCTATGTTTCACTTTCAGTCTTGCTTTCAACAGGTAAGATTTATATTGAGCTACCTGAATTTTAGAATAAAATGTCTTCTGGATTTCTCCATTATGCCATATGGTGTACTATATTTATTTCCAAGAGTTTTATTTCTCCCCTAGATGAGAACGTTATTAATCAAAAGTGATACACTTACTCTTTTGGAAACAATGGAAGGCAAGTCCAGGCCAACAAATCTGTATGGTTGGTGACAGAGCCAATCCCAAATAATTTTACAGTGAGCATTGATTCCCTTGGAAGTGATTTTATTTCAAGCGGAAAATTAATCCTGAAAAGAAAAGAAATAACATATTGATGACTGATAGTGCTAGGTATGAGGAATCTGAATAGAATCCGTTCGTCTTATAATTCTCAGTTAATCTTTGATGTTCATTTATGTAAGCTGTGGTGAAAGGAGAAGACTGATCACAATCAAAATCTATTATTGAAAGGTGCTGACAGAGGTTGATCAAACTGCAGTCTCAGACAGCATTAATGATCTTCACACATTCGCAGGTAGCTGTCTAATATAAATACCAGAGAACAACCTGACTCAAAGTTTCAAACAAAACATTAAAAACTCTTTTTTAGGTATCTGTATAGTAATCAGGGATGAAGGAGAATTAACTCATACCAGTGATGATGATAGATGTTAAGGAAGTGAGCACGGTGTTTCTGAAATGAAGATGTCGGTGTCTGGCTTGGAAGAGGAACAGCATAAAAGAGGTTTGCAATAAGAAAATAGAACTAAAGATGAATTCTAGTTTTCTACGTAATGATATTGTACATTCTCCCAAGTGGCATAAATGTAAAAGAAAGAGGAAATCATGGAGGCATAATATGGGGCATAAGTTGGGGAGGTGTACAATTTGAGTTATAATACCCTTGAATTAATAACAACTACAGCCATAGTGCTCCTTAGAGGTGAAAATGCTGAGACTTGATCTCACCTACTTTAGACATACTGTGTGGAGAGGAGACCAGTCTTTGGAGCTGTACATCATTCAAAGACAGGGGCAATGAAAGAAAGGAAGGCCCTCAAAGAGAGGAAGTGACACATGGCTGCAATAATGGGCTCAGTATAGGAAGAATTGTGAGGATGAGGACGGTGCAGGCCTGGGAGGGCTTCCTTCTGCTATGCATAAGGTCACTGTGGCTGGGAGCCGACTCAGTGGCCCCAACAACCGCATCATGTATCATTTCAAGAGTGGTTTAGGCTTCTCCCTTCAAGGCTCCCTTCCTGCCAGCCAGTAGATTCTGACTCACAGTATCCCTACAGGACAAAGTAGACAGGCCCCTGTGAGCTTCTGAGACTAACTTTTACAGAAATAGAAAGCCTCAACTTTCCCTGTGTGAGACTGGTGGTCTTGAATTACAGGAAGTGCAGTTAGCAACTCAGCCTGCAACCACGTAAAGCTGACCCAACCTTGCTTGCTGTAAGGGAGGAGAACTTGAAGTTCGTGCTGACGATGGTCAGGGAGACCAGCCTTCATATGGATGACAACTCAGGGTTGTAAAAGAAAAACAATTCTAACAACTGGACCATTACGCGATGAAAAACTGAGGAAAAATTAAAATTGTCAAGGATTTTGATACACAATCAATGCTTATGGAAGCAGCAATGAAGAAATCAAAGGTTACATTGCATGGAGTAAATCTGTGACCCAAGGCGTCTTTAAAGTGTTAAAAAACAAGAATGCTGCTTTGAGGACTACGGTGGGCCTAACCCAAGCCATACTTTTCAGTCACCTCAAATGCATGTTCAAATTGGACATTGAATAGGAAAAACCAGAGAAAACTCAATGCATTTAAATTATGGTGCTAAAGAAGAATACCGAGAGTCCCCTGGCCTGCCAAAAGGACCAATCAATCTTTCTTGGTAGAAGTACAACCAGAATGCTCCTTAGGAGAAAGAATGGTAAGACTTCTTTGCATGTACTTTGACCATATATGTTTGCAGGTGAGACCAGTCCCTGGAAAAGGATATCATGCTTGGTAAAGCAGAGGGATAGTGAAAAGGAGGAAGACACTTGACAAGACGGATTGACAGAAGGGTGGTAGTAATGTTCTCAAACATAGCAATTGTGGATGATGCAGAACTGGGCGGGGTTTAGTTCTCTTGCACATTGGGCTACTATGAGTCAGAACTGACTGCACAGCACCAAGCAACAACCACAAAGATCATTAAGGATCCAGGGTGGTGCCGTGGGTTAACACTTTGCTGGTGATGCCAAAATTACCAGTGAACCAACCAAGGGCTCTATGGGAGAAAGAACGAGGTGATCTCCTTCCATAAAGAGTACAGCCTAGGAAACCCTATGGGACACTTCTACTCTGTCCAATAGAGCTGCTATGTAAATCAAAATGGACCCAGAGTCACTCAACAACATGAACAACAGTCCTAAGAATTGAGATATCAAAAGGGGGGCTTCAAATAGCTTGTGGAGAAATTCCACTATCTTTTAATTCCATTTTCCCACAATTTTTTAAAGCCCCCAGGTATGTGACATATGTGTGAAGAGGATAATTAAGAGTTTTGAATTTGTCTGCATTTAAATATTCTCTGTGGTCAATAGAGATGCTTCGGTAATTCATTTACCTAAGACTCAATTTGCCATACTCACAAAATAAAATTAACATTAGATCCCATGAAACCTGCAAAATAGTAGGTCCTGTATTAGTTCATTCAAGTAATCATGCAATAATTTATATTTTACACAGTGAATTTAAGACTTAGATTTGTGATCACATTCCATTTGCGGCTATAAAATATTCAAGTAAAAGTAGGGGAAAGACTAAAGAAAAAACAACTTCTATTTTTTCAAGATTGGCAAACTGTAAATCATTACAAAAATTAGATAGTTACACATTCAGATACTAAAACTAAAAACCTCTTCTCTCTTCACTTACATCCGTTCATAGTAATAATACATGAGGTATTGTGAACACATCTCTCATCTTACAGGAAGCTCGAGGTAGAATGTTGACGATCCTGTAGAAGCGCAATCATCTCTTGAACGTACTCTCTTTTGCCTACCAGCGACTTTACACTTAGCTTTCATATTTCTATCCTAGGATGGAAACTGTTACCTATGTAGTTATGTTCACAAAATCTAAAATGTTATATTTTGAATTGAATCTGACTTCACTTCTTAGTGATCTTTTCATTTCAGGAATGATAAAATCTAGTGAACTTAGGGTGAATAGTTGCTGTCATTCTCTGTTCTGTATTTTCAGTAATTAGGCAATCTTAGGACATGAATGTATGCCAAGTAATAATTTATTCACTTTCGAATAAAAATGATTTTTAAAGAAAGTATGCATTAGAATTTTTTTAAACTTCTGCATGAACACTCAACAAAGAAAAGGATGATTATTTTTTTTATAAAAATGGGACAAAGAATAATTTAAGAGACAACTCACTAACTGGAGTTAGATTGGTTCTTTTTATCATAGCAGCTAACAGTCTAGCTAAATGTTTGGCTTGCTTTACAATTTAAAAATAAGAAAATATCATTTTTCATTTATGAGACATTTTCACTCCTATTGGTGTATATTTTTATGTCCAAAAATGAGAAATTTAAAAGTCACAGGAAGCAAAAAAAACCTTTTCTATTACACTGACATAAAATCAAAGAATCAGTGCAAACATTCAACAACTGGAAAATTTTTACTTCTGCCTGATTGGTATAGAGGACCTATTGAGGATTTTTAAGCAGTGAACTGATGTAAGCTGCCTTACCTTTTTAAAAGGTCACGTTAGTTGCTGGGGGACAAAGGTTATAACTGTGCAAGTAAAGTAATTATAAAGTATTAACATAATATAAACAAGAGATGTTGGTGGACTGAACCAGTAAAAGTGTGTAAAGTCGTACATTGGGAAGTCTATTTTGATGATAGAACCTATGACACTTTCTAGACATGGCTCTGAGATAAAGGAATTTGGAATTGTGTTGTGAACAGGTGAAACTGAAACCAATCATTCGGAAGGCCAGCTATGAGTGCAGCAGGTTTGAAGTGTAAAATCAGTTTAGTATTTTGGTATGCTGAGATTGGATTTCAAAAGTGATGCCTGGGCAGGTATTGGAAGTTGTTTTCATATATCTTGTATTTGAAACTTAATAACTCTAAGAGACAATAAGGAAAGATGCAATAGAGAGGAGGCTCAAGGACTAAGATCATCAGTCTAAGAAAAAGAGATGAAAAGGAGTAGGCAGTGAGGTTGGAGGACATCTTAAATTGCTTCTCAGTGGATAAGGTGAGACCTCAGTCAAAAGACCATGGTCTAGTGGATTACTGCATATAACTCTTCAAGCCAATAAAGATAGAATGTATGAAACTCTAATGTGGGGATTGATCAATTTTGCCGTCCCTCTTGGTATAAAATCAGCTGTCTTAGAAACAGGAACCGGGATCTCGTTATTACCAATAGAAAAGAGTCAGGAGTGGAATTCTTCCTTTGACCTCTGAGATCCCTGTATACTGGACCTTTTTGATTTAGCAAACAGAGCTGTGACCCAGGACATAGTAGCAGTACAGGCAGCAGCATTAAGAGCATGGGCCAGAGCTGTGACATCCCAGCCCATACAGATACATGTGTTGCCTCTAGGCATTTACTTGAGGCGGTTTGGCTTATTTGTATCCACCATCAATGCTCCTGGAAGTAGCAGTCAAGAGATCAGACATATACGCATCGTGAAAATCTGCTATGCAAGACCTTCTTCAAGTATTGAAGAGCAAGGCTGTACTTTGAGGACTCAGGTGTGCCTGACTCGAGCAATGGTGTTTTCCATGGCTTCTAATGCATGTGCAAGTTAGACAATGAATAAGGAAATCCAAAGAATTGCTGCATTTGAATTATAGATAGTGAATAAAATGGAAAGTACTGTGGACTGCCAGAAGAATAAACCTATCTCTCTTGAAAGTAGTACAGTCAGAAGGCTCCTTAGAAGCAAGACTGACTCTCACACACTTTGGACATATCATCAGAAGACCAGGCCTTGTAAAAGGATATCACATTCGGTGAAGTAGAGGGTCAGCAAAGAGCAAGAAGGCTTCAATGAGAGGAGTTCACACAGTGGCTTCAACAATGGCTGCAGGACTAGGCACTGTGTCACTCTGGTGCACTCAGGGTTACCAGGAGTGGGAACAGATGCAATAGCACATAGCAAGAACATGTTTCCTGACCCATGGAGCTAGAGCTAGGTGTCTCTGGCTATGGCTTATGGCAGAGCGGTCATTTATTAGCAGTGCTCAAAGACCTTTGTAACTTTGGTGCAGGCATGGCTAAGAAGTGATGGTTCTGACCAATAAATTATGTCCTGAGCATTTCTGATCCTAATTACATGTCAATTTCCCGAATGTATCCTATAACAATGCATATAATTCGTGATTTCTGAATGACTATGCAATCAATTATTGAACACAGCAGAGTTGAGAGGTCCTTGGGAGGAACTATTGGTGTCAGAATTGGTAAAGAATGTTAGAAGATGGTGGAATGTCATACTCCATCCCTGGACTGATGTTGAGTTTGAAATGTTGATTTTTACGAGCCTGTAGGCACAGAAATGAGCAGCAGGAGAAGCAACAGTCACCATGAAGTAGCTGAGAGTGGGCCTATGAGCCCCCTGAGACTCTTAGGGGTCAGGTCTTCAGTGCAGGTGAAGGCACAGTAGAGTAAGGACAATGTTGGCAAGAACTTGTTTGTGATTTACTAAATCTCTTTAAAGGGAGACAACAGAAGCCATTCACCTCAAAAATAGGTAGAAGCTTCCAAAATACATAGATATGGTTCAGTGACATTTCTTAATATGGCTCTTCTAACCCTGTCTCTGTAACTCCAAAAAAATGATTGAGTGGGACCATGCAAATAGGGTGTGTGAAATTCTAATAGACGGGATTGGTCAATTTTAGTTACTATTCCCCTGTGTATGAGCCATCCCAGAGAGAATTCCTGTGATCATTACAGAAGAAGAGCCACCCATGGAGCATGTCAAAATTACAGAGTGGTTTGTATATGAAATGGGAGATAATATACACACATATGTATATATATATATATGTGTGTGTGTGTATATATATACATACATACATACATATGTTGGCATATATCTACATATATATGTATCCAATTTACAGTTCAAATTGAATCAGATTTCTATATAATATATATGTACAACATATTAGGTCTTTTTCTCTTCTTTTTAAATAGATTTTGATTCATTGATTTGAATATTTTGTTATTTGTTAACATTAACATAGTTATCACATCCTGAAGCAAATCTAATGATAATGTGTGTATGCGCATGCACGCGCGTGTGGGTGTGTGTGTGTATCCTATACTAAGGAAAACACAAACATACAAAAAAGTTCAAAAAACCTCTGATATTTTCTAGGTAAATGATTGAGTTATAATAGAGATTAAACTTACGTTTCATTCCAGTTGACTAAGAAAAAAAATAACTTTTTGGCTGGAATATGTCTGTGGTTTCTCACTTGACACAGCTTCTTTCCAGCGTATGTAAGACAACAGGAGAAAGAAAACGCTTTGTAGCTAAAAAGAAATAACATTGATTAAATTAAGTGTACACTCTAAATTGGTTTCCTATGGGGATCAATTTTTCTTATGGTTAAAACTCTAATGATAAGCAAGTTTAGTGATAAGCAACTTACGATTAATTCTTTGAATAAATCTATAATGTGAAACAGAAATGAAACCAATATTTCAAAAATTAAGTTGTTCAGTCATTTTAAGATTTTAAATGGGATCAGATATCTAGTTTTTTTTAAATTAGTGAACTTTAATAATAGGAAAAACAATGGTTCTGTTTTTCTACGGACATTATGACAAACACTATTAAATTGCATATGTCTTATTTGTTAACATGAGCTCAAACATAAGAAAATTTGCACAGAACGGGCTGTGTTTCATTCTGTTGTGCATAGGGGCATTATGAGTCAGAACCCAACGGATATCACAATATAACAACATACTACTGAAGGTAACTGAAGACCTTCCAATCACACTCTCACATGAACACAAGCACACAACTAAAAACCTCCTATCAAAACTTCAGTTTTGTATTATCATTTCAATCATACTGGGATATTTCATAAAGAAGCTCAATAAGGTAATGGGAGCATTTGTGTAAAATTCAATGAAGTGCCCTGAAAGTAACATTTTGTAAAGAGTTTCCAAACAAGAGAAAAAAGGAGACATCTGAAACAAAAATAAACTCAATTGATCTCTCACTGATAGTGTGAAGAGGAAGTAGAGTGTGGTTCACTAGGGGGCTTGAGAGTTAAGAAATCTAGAACTCTGCTTCTAGATGTACACACTTTCCACCTGTAGATAAGTTACTTAACCTATTTTATACGTTAGTTTTCTCATTTGTGAAATGAGTAGAGGACCACTTTTTACAAACACAAAGTGGTTTAAAGGCACTTCAAAACAAGACTCTAGGAACTGATGAAATATCAGTTGAAATATTTCAATACGCAAATGAAGCACTGGAAGCACTCATTAGATTATGCCAAGATTTTTGGAAGATAGGTACCTGGCTATTAGGTCATTTCCATATGTGTACCCATTACAAAGAAAAGTGACCAAATAGTATGTGAAAAGTCATTGAACAATATCATTAGTTTCACATCCAAGTAAAAGCTGATGATCAATCATTTGCCAACAGTCACAGCAGTACATTGACAGGGAGCTGCCAGAAATTCAAGCCAGATCCAGAAAAGGAAATGGAGCACGCGGCCTCAATGCTGACATCAGATGGATCTTAAAGCAGAAAATGCCAGAAAACTTCTCACTTGTGCATTATTGATTATAGGAAGGCATTCAATTGTGTGGACCACGATCACTTATGGATGGCTTTGAGAAGAATGGGAACTCGAGAACCCTCCCTGGTGCTCTTGCAGAGTCTGTACCTGGATGAAGGGTGGTCCTTCTAACAGAATAATGGAACGTTGAGGGATTTAAAATTAGGAAAGGTATGCATCACAGTTGTATCCTTTCACCATACTTATTCTATCTGTCTGTTAAGCCAATCAGCTGAGCATGTGGCGTAGATGAAGAAAGCACAGCAACAGTATTGGATGCAGCTGGCACAATCGTGTTTGCCGAAAGTGAGGAGAATTGAAGCACTTGCTGATAAAGATCAAGTATTATAGCCTTTGGTATGGGTTGCAATTCAGTGTAATAAAGCAAAAATCCTAGCAACTAGATAAATAGATAACATCATATTAAATGATGAAAAGATTGACTTTGTCATCAATTTTGTCTTGCTTGGATCCATAATCAATGCTCATGGAAGCAGCAACCAAGTAATCAAAGGTTGTGCTGCATTGGGTAAATCTTCTGCATAAGACCTCTTTATAATGTTTAAAAGCAAGGAAGTGACTTTGAGGATTAAGGTGTGACTGACCCAAACCTTGGTCTTTTCAATCACCTCTTATGTTCGTGGAAGTTTGACACTGCACAAGGATCGCCAAAGAAAAGTTGATGCATTTGAATTATGGTGAAGGATATTGAAAGTACCAGAGTGAAAAAAGGATAAATCAATATGATGAAGCAATAGAAGCAAAGCAAAGAAAACCAATATAATAATCATAATAGCTCCATTCATTAAATATATTATAATAACTTATAGGATGTATTAAATGATTAGAGTTATTATTATGAAGACAGAGGGCACAGTATGCAGATTCTGTTTGTTGTTATTTTTTCCAGAATACTTCTATTTGTATTCCCTTTTGAGCTGAGCAATATGAAATAAATGGCACATGAATTAAATGGCAAAGGGTGAATGATGACCTGTTTACCACAAGAATCTTCAGCCTCTTTTCTAATATGTTCATTTTAGGTTATTTATTTCCCTTAAGAATAACGTTGTCTGTGTTCTGTTTTACATGTTGTTGTTTTTTTATAAACTACAATATTTTCTAAGTTCTTGTATAGTCACATTTTTTACTATGGGAATTGTTTGAAGGTATATCT